CATCTGTCAGCACATGCAAAGGCTAGGACTGACAGCAGAACATGCCAAGCAGGGTTGTGGCAAATGTCAACATGCAGGAGATCTGAGGCTGGGTGCTGGCCTGGCAGGGGAACTTGGGTAATTGAAACTCCCCTGCTAGGCCACAGATCCTGATGGGGAGCATAATAACTGGGGTTGAGGGCGGGCATGACAGGCAGGGCTGCAGCACTGTCAGCATTTCTGTGGGCCAGGTCTGGGGACAGCAGCACCCACTGGAACATACAAGATACAGGACAGAATGCGAGCTTCACACGGCTGGTCTAGGCTGCAACACACTCCAACAAGAGCTGAGACTGTAATTGAGCCATACCAGGATAAGTTGAAGCACCCAAAAGTACTCATAAAATCTGGGGGTGGGAACAGGCTTGGTAGAGGAACTCTGCTAAGATGCAGCTCCCATTAGTGAGTGCAAGATCTGGGACTGGGGGCAGGTTGGTCAAGATGTGGGCCAGGTTTGATGAGGCTGCCATACCTTCTGGCATGCATGAGCACTATAACTATGTGGGCCACCTAGGCCAGGCTGCAACACCCGAAGCAAGTGTCACCGCTGGGTGCAAGTCAAGTCAGGCCGGACCACAGTGCCCTCTTGCAGATGCAACACTCAGTCTGGGAGCAGGCCTGATAAGAGAACTATGGTCATTCCCCTGCTGGGCTACAGCTCCTAAAATTTATCATGAGCCAGAGCTAGGGGTGGGCCAAACTGGTCAAGGTAGTAGCAACCATCAGCATACATGTGGGTTGAGTCTGGGGGCAGAGTGGGTTGAGCCAAGTAGCAGCACCCATGGGTGTGCACAAGAGCCAGATGGGATTCAGGACAGACTGGGCTACACTGTAGCATATGCTGAAACATGTGAAAAACACGACTGGCAGCGATCCTGGTGAGAATTTTGGGGAACCAGGCCACAGCTCCTACTGGTATGTGTGAGAAATGGGCCTGTGGAGGGATGGGCTAGGTTAGGCACCCATCAGTTTGCACGAAAGATGGAGCTAGGGACAGAACTGACCTGTCAGCTGCATCCACTAGTATGTGCATTAGCTGAACCCGACCCTGCACTTGCTGACACACACAAGAGTCAAGTCTGAAGTCACCCCAGGTGATGTTTCTTGGGAGACTACCCGACTAGATGGCTAGACTCGAACCCCAGCATCAGGAAAAAATCATAACATATATGATATGATCTTACAGTGTATATATTGGGTCCTGGATCCTATGCAGTAGACAGCATGTCCAGACGCACATGTGGCACATGACAGGTTGGGGAGCTAAGGGGACAACCCTACCTGGGTTGAGGTTCCCACCAAAGGGCATGTGGGCTGGAATGGGGGCTGCGTTCTGAACGGGACACTGTTGTAGTCTCCCTTGGCACAAATGTGGACTGGGATTGGATGCACCGAACTGGGCCGGACCCCGACTCCCCCTGGTGTTCTGGAGGACCAGGGTAGATGTGGGATGGACTAGGTAAGGTCTCAACTCCTACTGAGCCATGTGTGAGCCATATGTGAGTATGAACGAGCCATGGCTGGGCTGAAACATCCAACAGCAAGAACCAGAATGGGTTGAAGGCTAGTCAAGAAAAGCCACTGTTCCTGCTAGGACAGGAGGTGGACTCAGTAGTGCTAGCTCATGGACCCACTGGTATGCGTGAAATCTGGCACTTGGTGGGGTTCTGATCAAAGAGCCTGGGCAACTCCTCTGGCAGGACACAGACCCTGCAGGTAAGCGCAAGAAGCATGAAAGGAAACAGCCCAAAACAGACCATGGAAACTATCCCAGTGGTATACATTTGGCATGGATCAGAGGCAGACCAGGCTAAATAAGTTCATGTCATCCACTGGCAAATCCGAACACCAGAACAGAGTGTGGGTTGAGCCAGGTTCGGTCGCAACAAAAGCAGTACACAATACGGAATGCCAAGGTGAGGTTGCCTGTGCCAGATGTGACCGCAGCACCCAACAGTACATGTGAGAACCAGGAAGGGAGGGGGCAGAGCTAGCAGAGGGAATAAGGGTGGTTCCCTTACTGCACAGCTGCTCCCACTGGAGAGCATGAGCTGGGTTGGGGGCAGACCAGACTAAGCAGGGTTACAAGCAGACTAAGCAGTGTTGACTTGAGGACCTCATGTGAATAGATCAGGGAAAAGCCAGGCTGGGCTGATTGATCCAACTGGTCCAAACAAAACTAGAATGGGTGAGGGTTGTTTGGGCTTAGTCACAGCATCAGCTGGCAGAAGCTGGCACTAGGGGTTAATTCTGTCAAGTAAAACCACAGAACCACCTGGATAGTGCATAATCCAGGAGTGGGAGTGGCCTGGGAGGGAAATAGTGGGCTCATTCCTCTACCACCCCCACGGAAGGGCACAAAAACTAGGACAGGGGCTGGGGTGGCTAGACAGAGAGACACTCAACAACATCCGTGAGGGCTGGATAGTTGAGCTGCTTAAATGAAACTAGGCTTTAACACCCATTGACATGTATGAGAGCAGAACAGGATATGAGACATACTGGACTAGTCTGCTGCACATACTGGCAAACCAGAGTAGGGGGCAGGCCTGGTGGGGGTTATTGTGGGTTGCTCCAACTAGGCTGCAGCTCACACTGGTTTGTGTGAAGGCCGAGTATGTGCTGGGCAGAACCAGGCTGGACTGAGAGGCACCCATTGGTTCCAGTGGAAGACAGGGCTGGAAGCAGAGCCGCCCCAGCAATTGCAACCACCAGCTGATCAGGGCAATGGACTGTGCCGGGCCCTGTACTTGCTAACGCATACAAGAACCTGGTCTGGGAACACCTCAGACAAAGTTTCTTTGGGGATCTCCCCAGTCGAACTGCCAGACTCAGAACCCTAACCATGAAGAGACAGAGGACAGAACAAGTCAATCAACCACCTCAGCTATATGTTGGCAGTGAAAAACTTGGCAAATGGAGACTCTATGATGGACTGTGTCAATTAGTGGATTCTTAAAGGACCTCATCATGCTTGGAGTGGCGAGACTGGCAGCAATTCAGAACTGTTGAACTATCAAAATCATTTGAGCAGGACCCTCAGATCATGCCCCACATCGGGGACCTGGGGTGGCTGGGAGACTGGGTGGCCTTCTCCCTTAAAATCCCCTTTTACCTCAGATATATGAAGGAAACAATATGGAACTAATTGTCTTACCCATTTTCTTGTAGCACTAGAAACTTTTTACCCTAATTAATTATGTAAAGATTGTAAAAAAAAAAGCAATAAACAGAGAGGCTTGAAAAGAAAAAGAAGTCTTCTGTACTAAAAATGTCTCTGACATTGAAATTAGCAGAATAAGACTGAAAATGACCTACACAAAACACATATTCCAAGTAGTACTATTTCCATACCCTGTGACATGGACATGGATATTATCAAGAATAAAATTAATTCTCATCTCCTTTAACTTGAACAAATCACTTAATTCCAGTTTTCTTTATCTCTCTCCCTCTTCTCTCTCTCTCCTTCTTTCTCTCTGTCTCTCTGTTTCCCTCTTTCCCTCCCCCCAACTCTCTTTCATTTTTTTGTTTTTGGTAAAACTATGTGATTGTACTGATTCCTGAGATTACACATAGAAAAAGCTTGTATGATTACAGAGCCATTTTGGGAATTTTGAAAAAGTCTAGAAAAGCAGACTCTTCAGAAGGAAGTCCAGAAAATAAATGTAACATTTGAAGCCCAGTCACATCATCGTTGACTCCAATAATTTGGTCAGATTATTTGTAATGTGGTTAATCTAGATGTGACAAATTACCTATAATTGTAATTCCAGAGTAACACAGAAATGTCAAACAAGTTCAGGTGTTCTAAGGTAAATCAAATTCACAATACTAATTAGAGTATGATGAGTCATTTGTCATTCTACAAATATGCTTAGTTCTTGTCTTCAGAACTAATATCCTTTACTAAACACTTACCACTCTCTAATAGCATTAAAATCCAAGAGATTTCTAGTACATGTAACCAGTTGATGCCTTCTCACCCAAAACAGGTCACCATTTACCAATAGGAATACAATTAATGTAATTCTAACATTTTTAGTAAGCTCATTAGTTATTAATTATACAAAGTGCTATTACTGGAGCACTTTCAAAAATATACAAGAGTTTATTCTTTCTGTTTATTCTCACAGAGGAATTAACTGACAAACTATGACCAAACTGTGTATAGTGCACATTTGTGTATGTGTGTGTGTGTGTGTGTGTGTGTGTTTGTGTGTGTATCTTCAAATGTAGTTTGGAAACTTTTCTTGTAGCTAACTCCAACAGTTTTTAATAACCAGATTCCTTTATAAGAAGAAAGAAATCTAGTTATTTGAAACATGAAGAGTGTGAGCGAGAGAGGAAGAGAGAAACAAAGAGATCATTCACCCGTGGTTCCCTCTCTAAATGGCTCCAACAGCCAAGAGGTGCCTGAATGAAGCTGTAAACCAGGAATTCCATCCACATCTCTTAGCAGGAACTCACGAACTTGTGTCATTGCCTGCTGTGTCCCAGGCACATTCGAGCTGATTGGAAAGTGGAGCAGCTAGGACTCCACAGGTCACTCTGAGCTGAGATGGAGGCCACCCCAATCAGCAGTTTACCTCACAAGCCACCCACCCCAATCTTCTAATATTCACAAATTTTGTGAAGACTATCTTTGTTCAGGAGGTGGAAGATGTAGCACATTCCACCATCGCTACTTAGGATAATGTCAAAGGTAAAACACTAACAAGAATCTTTTTCAACTGTCAGAGATGAACTTATTCTTTTCCAAATCACTCTCTTGAATTTTCTTTCAGCAGAAATGTCTGAATTAGAAACAAAGAATTATGCATTGGCCACAATTTGTACATATGCATTTGACAATTACAACAACATTCTACTGATTTAAATTAGTGACCGGAACATCAGCAGCTTCATCTCCTAAAATATGTCAGATTACAGCTCCATATTTTCTGATGGTTCCATTTTACCTCCTCAGGGACAGCTCTTATATTAACAAAGCCTTTTCTGAAGACGACGAACACGCGGCGGGCTCCGCAGCGCAAAGCCGACGTGGCACAGTCAAAGGCAGTATCTCCAGCGCCGAGGACAATCACGGCTCCCCGTATCGACGGCAATGGAGAGTGACAGGCGCACATTCCTGAATGATGAAAGGAAAACCCCATTTTCAAGCAGAGAAACCATTTCTGCATGACAGCTCAAAAGATACTTGTACTCAAAGCAGTGTAAAATTGCATCATGCAGTTTCCGAGGATGGAGTGTCACTATCAAATTATTCTGCTTCATTGAGACACAGTTTTATTCCCATTTTAAAAATATGCTCATCTATGTAATTTCATAGTCAGTACCTTTAGTTTTTTTTTTTCTAGAAGAATTGCTACAACAAATTCTGAAGAATTTAGGTCATAACTAACTAGAATGAACCAATTAAAACTGTCAAAGTTGTGGTATGTATTATTAATTTGGCATCATTAAATCTCTTCCTGTGGGAAGAAAAATGTGATACCTAAGATCTGCGTTAATAATTTGCAGCATGTCATTTAAAGTGCTTTATATATGTTATCCAATTTCTCACATGTAGGTCTGCTACATGTTACAGTTAGGAAACTTTTAGAAATTGACAAGCTGCATAAGTGCCATTTAGATAAATCAAGAGGTCTAAGAGAATTCTTGAAATAATTTAAATAAAATTGGCTCCTAATTATTGATTTCTCACTTGGTTTATAAAATAGGCCCAAAAAGGAAAGAAACATGAGTTTCTAATTTGATGTTCCTATGAAAAAGTAAAATGCAGGTGTTCTCTATGTGTTAACTACCAATATATTATCAGATTAAATAAGACTGTTGCTAAGATAAATTACTATAATTTTTGAAATGGTAGCATGGATAGAACGGACCTACAATCTCAATAAGAGTAATCATTTGGCTTCAAAGACTTTGTCCTCAGGATTACACAGTGTGCACACTGCAGTCCCCAGATACGTGGGAGGAGTTCCGGGAGCTTCACGGAGAGCGGTGCAGACACCCAAGCACCTTGCTGCCATGAGAGCAAAAAAAAAAATGGAGTTGCCATTTGCCTTTTGTTTGAAACATCTACAGGATGATTTGACGTTGGAAGTTTCTTCTGTAAATTTTGGAAGAAAAGCATATGTTCTTATCATTTCCACATGTAATTAGATGTGGGAATAGTTGCAGCTGAGACTTCTTCAAAAACATATGTTTAAAGAATTCAGAGTTTCTGGATTGGCAGAATTTATTACACTTCCTTTATGACTAACACAATGCCGTTAGTCAAACTGAAGCACGGCACAGTAAGTTTCACGTTAGCCTCCTTAGGGAGGATGGAGAGATGGGGTGTCGATCAAAGTGTTTTACTTTAACTTCATAAAATTACTGTTCAAGAAGAAGAGACCTTGAATTTTTCTGCCTGAATTGATGTAAATCATCTAAGGCATGTGGTGATCCGTTCTGTTTTAAAATAGATCCCCAAACTGAAGCTGTGCTGTTTCTTTCAAGAACATGTACCCATGTTTACTAAGGGCTCCTTATTTTGAAGCAATTCTTCATGACGCAGCTTTAACCTATCTGTAATCAAGCCAAAACTTTGATGATCACACTTTAGCAGGTGAATATACAAGCAGACATCCTGTAAAACTGTTACATCAGGTTTTCCTTTTTTTTTTCCTCCTTAAGTTGACATTATTCAGGGACTGATATTAGATATGTGCAATTACTCACTGAACTGGAAGGCAATATAACTTTATAATGCAGAAAACAACAGGACAACCTGAAGAGCAGAAGACAGTATGTTGTACCTGCTTTACTGGCTTTTGCTACAAGCGGCAAGAAGTCTTTGGAAGTATAAAATCCCTGGTCCTGTGTCAGGCCTTCGAAGATGTGGTCCTTATTGGGTTCTGGCAAACCTAATAAAGTTTATAGAAATTCTGTTAATACGAAGGAGATGTTTCTGCTTTGCTACTGAAATGAAGTTGAAAGCTATGATCATTGAAATGATATGGTTCTAGGGTCCGGCGCATTAGCATAGCGGTTAAAGTCCTCGCCTTGCACATGATTTTATATAGGTGCCGGTTCTAATCCCGGCGGCCCCACTTCCCATCCAGCTCCCTGTCTGTAGCATGGGAATGCAATCTATGACGGCCCAAAGCTTTGGGATCCTGCACCTATGTGGGAGACCCAGAGAAATTTCCAGAGTCCTAACTTCGGAATGGCTCAGCACAAGCCGTTGCGCTCACTTGGGGAGTGAACCATTGGATGGAAGATTTTCTTCTCTGTATATCTGCCTTTCCAATAAAAATAAATAAATCAATAAAAATAACTAAATAAATATAAAATACAAATATAAATATAAATAAATAAACAAAAAAGAAATAATATGGTTCTTAGGGGAAAGAAAGTTGTATATGCAAATTAGCATTAAAATGTAACTAACAATAACTGAACAGATCTCAAAAAAATCTTAAACATGTAACTCAACACATGTCATCAATCACCCATAAAGGTGCTCATGCAGATACGCGAAAGAATACTACGCCTATACATACAGAGACATATACAGTGGCAATGGGAAGATAAATTTGCAGTCTTTTTCTACATGACATAAAGTAAAATAAGTTTCAGCTGTACTAAATTAACAATATATAAATAGCATACACATTATTTATTTATATAATTATATAACTTACTATGTGTAATTATCATAATATGTGTACTATAGAATTATTGTATATAACTTATATCTATGAAACCACTATCAAAGTAAGGAAGGTGGAATATTTATTTATCTGCCATCTTCTGCATAAGCAAGCTCATTCTTCGGAAAAAAGAATGGAAGACAATACCACAAAGGGAAAAAAATACCTCAAAGGAGGAAACAACACATTTAACCACATATACAATTGAAAAGTATAATAAATCAACTAAAAGGAAAATGAAAGGTAGATATCTGGCTATCTAGTTAAAACACTTGGGGGAACACCCATCTCCTGCATGGAGTGCTTGGTTCAATTTTCTTCTCCATTCCTGAATCAAGTGCTTGGGTCCCTGGGATCACATGAGAGATGGACTGGGCTCCTGGCTTTGTCCCCGCTCGGCTCTCATTGTTGCAGGCATTTGGAGAACGAATGAGGAGATGGGAGATTGCTCTCTCTCTCTCAGCCTTTCAAATAAACTTAAAAACTAATTTTCAAAATGTTAGAGGCAACTGATTACCAGAAAAACATACCGGCAAATGCCTTTAGTTCATAAAGAAATCTCACTATCGATAGGAAACACTAACTTTCCAACAGAAATTAATAACCCTCAGAGAAAAAAATAGCTTATAAATACTAAAATATTAGCCCCTTTAGGAATTAAATCAATGTGGATGAAAACAATGAGATACTAAATGTGATTAAAAAATAATAAACTACAAAGTTAAAATGGAACTTGTCACTTTGTTTTAGTACAAATGCACAATGGCGCTCAATACTCAAAATAATTTTTTATCTATCCTAAGGAAATACTTAGTCAAATGTAAATTTTACATACACAATGCAACCAATAAAAAGGATGCAAAAATGAGAAGGCAGCAAGGAGATGAGGAGGAAGGAATCCCTATATCTAAAAAACTGTATCATGGAAACCATGGAATATAATAATTTTTAAAAGGAAGGATGAGAAACAAAATACCAGAACATTAACTGCATAAAATTCACAAACCAAAAAGACAACAGAGTAAATTTAAGCCATAAAGGTGACTATATGGTATCAAAGTACAGTCAAAACACAGTGGTGAGGGGACCAGTGCTGAGGCACTGCAGGTTACACTGTTACTTGATATGCTGGAATCACCTAAACGCATCAGTTTGAATCCCAGCTCCTCCACTTCCAATCCTGCTAACTGACAATCAACCAGGGAAAACAGCGGAAAACAATTCTCCTGCTTGGGTCCGTGCAACCCACAAGTAAGCCTGGATAAAACACCTCACTCCTGGCTTTAGGCTGGCCTGCCTGGCCACTGTGTCCACCTGGGGAGTCAAACAACAGATGTAAGATCTCGCTCTCTCCCTCTGTTTCTCCTGTACTCTGTAACACTGAATTTCAAATAAATTGAGTAATTTTTTAAAAACCTATAATGCTGACTAAACCTCCAGAATATGAAGTTTTGTGTATGGTTCAAATTTTGTATCAATGATTGCATAAATTTTATAATAAATTTGGCCAGTTCACTTCACTTTCCTTTACCTTGATGTCTACATAGATGAAGTGAGGATGAAACTACACCTCCATTTTCAAACACAGAGATCTATTCCCTGGGTATGGAGTAACATAGAGGTTATCACAAGCGTATAAGTGTAGAATGATTGATGATTTTATTACACAACTTGTGATAGAACTGGGAGTATAAAGACAGTCATATATGTACTGAAGACTTCAATAAAAATTTTCTCCTGCAAGCTATTTAAAAAATGTCTATAGGCTATGCTTGAATAATCAAATACACATGGAAAAAAAGGCACTGAGAAAAAGAAAATATGTATCAAGATTTAATTAAAATCCTAAGTCTCCCTTTGCACCCCAATATACTGTGAAGGTAACAAATGTTCTATATCACTTTGTATCCACATTAAAAACACAGACAAAAACAACCGAAATGCTGTGCTATTTTAAGATGATGTCATCAGCCAAAACCTGGAAGGCAGATAATAAAATAGGCACAAACAATAGGAGTAATGGATAAGAGTTCCACAGACACTGGCAACAAGGTCTAAAATCTTTCCTTTCACCAAATCTTCATGTGAATGCCTACTCTACCTGCAATAGTTAAAGCCGAGAGAAAATTTTACATTGATTACTATTTTCCATTCCTAATGCTAAAATAACACCTAAAGAAGTACATGGTATTCTTCTTATTAAAAACACTATTGGCTATATAGAGATGAGCTTTCCTCTCTCGCAAGGATTATTTCATGAGAAAAATGCTGGTGTACAATTTAAATTTCATTTTTACACTTGGATCCAGACCCGAAACGGTTGAGTTTCCTGTACTTTTAATATACTGCACAGTTATCACTCCAACGGGTTTAAAATGTGTTGGGTCAGATTCCTCTCTGTAAGTGTCCTAGAGCTCATCAATTAAATATTCTGACCTCAGGAAGACTGGCTTCACAAGAAGAATAACGAGCCTAGAAGTAGATGGGCTCCTAATTGCAAGGTTATTATTGCAGCTTACTTAGCCACAGTGCGAGTCAAACACACACTTGGAGCCCCGAGTTCTTTTAAGTTATGTATTTTTCTAGGGTGAACAAAAATAGGGTCTTAGTCAATACAGATTATAATATGAATCCTTCTTCCAATATTTTACCAGTTCCTGTATCTAATTCAATTTTCTGTAACAGGTAGCTCCATCTGTAAACTTGGCCAAGTTATAGTATCCACTTCTTTAAGGAAATACTAATCTAGATGTTGCTCTGAAGACCCTTTATACAAAGGATTAATGTCTACCATCTGTTGACTTAACGTACAGATTACTCTTATGCCGTGAGTGTGGCTTACCTAACAGTCAAAAGAATTAAACTGAAGTTTCCTTGAGGAAGTGGAAAATTCTGTTTAAAAACTGTGAAACAGACAAATAAATCCTGATAATTGGATGCTAGACTTTCTATCACTGTCTGTAACTACAACGTAAGGATATACTTAAATGGCGGAATGATGAACTCACAACTGTTTTTGAAGGACTATTCCATTTTTCCCGTTTTTAAAAGGAAAGTTTATTTAACAAGTTTCACTTAGTTACATCTGAATGAAAATCACAATGCAAGGAAAGATTTAAATCAAAGCCTCAGAATCTCATACAAAACAACACAACCAAACTCCTAAGGTATTGGCATTACATCTCAAAATTGTCCCAGATCTTTTAAAAAAAAAAGTGTACACTCACGCGCCTTACAGGATATTAAACCAAAAAGTTAGAATTAACAAACATGCCAATCTTTTCACTTTGAATCGTAGACATAGCTCCTATATTTGAGCTTTACAGAAAAGCATGTTTCGCAACATGCATCTGAAGTTTTCAATGTATGGTGGTATAAGAGCAACATTTAACATATGCGAAACTGCTGTAACCTAAACATGCTTCCTGCTTTGGGTACACTCCTAAAACATAACTAACTCGAGGAAAGCTGAAAATTGTTTGAACAGTTACAGCCAATACTGAACTCTGTTATTACGTCCTAGCTGAAGGTTTCATTGTTTAAAATGACTGAGCATAAAGTTTTAAAACAATCTTGACTTTCACTTTACAGTAAGCAGAAATCACAAGCCTGTAATGCAAAACTGTTCATCTTCATTTTCTTAAAAAAGAAGAAAGATAAAAAGAAAAAAAGGAAACTGACCAAAAATGGTCAGAATCAATTGTATTTCCCATTTGAGCCAATCATACTAGATACACTAAACATCCCTCCCACACTATTCCACTCCCACGAATGCACAGCTTTTATTTCTGTAGTAGTAGCTGTTAAATGCTTCCTCTTTACCTAAGCAAGGTTTGACTGATAGTTACTGGAGTTTTCCTGCATATCCACTCATGCTGCTCTGACCGCCATAACCTCCTCTATAACCGCCACTCAGCTGCTGGCTAGCAGGACCCCCGTAACTAGACTGGTTGGATAAGCCCTTTCCTCCCATCATTTGGCTACCATAAGCACCACCACTTGCCCCCGCTGCAGAATTCAAAAAGAGTTCTACATAGCTATGACCCTAGGCTCCCCCACTTGTTCCTGCAGTAAAATTCAAGAAGAGCTCCACATATCTGTGTTACGTATTAGCTTTATCTTTTGCCATGCTGCCACTGCATCTTCATGAGTAGCAAATTCAACATCTGCCTCACCAGGAACCCTGCCATCCAATCAATATGGACTCACAT